AGGTATCCGCTGAGGAGAGAGGTTCAGATGATGTTTTCACCCAGTTTGTGGGAATCTTATGAAAAAGGTACTTTGCTGTCATCTAGTACCTTTTTCTGTTTTGCTTGTTAACCAAGATACTAGGTAGCATTTCAGTCTCAATACCTCGTTCCTCTGCTTTTGTGCCCCACAGGTCAGTGCCTCCCATCCAGAATGGAGGCGGGACGGTTCCAGGTGCGGAACAAGTGTCGCGCTAGCTGCAAAGACTGCGGCTTTGCCTTCCCAGGCTGGAGGGCAGCGTGCGCAAGGATAATCACCACGCCTGCGGCACTGGGGGACTCTTGGGCCTGCCACGGACTGACCCCGTGCCCTGCAGTGGGCTGATCTGTGCCGGCCCGTGGCCTGTGACCTGCCCTTTGAGAAGCTGTCTGGTTTTAGTGGCGCTCAACAAAGCAGCAGAAGGAGCAAGGAGGAGGCGAGCACGCGGTAAAGCCGCGGACCGGGCGGTGGAAAGCAGACAGCGTCCGCTGTGAGAAGAGCTCAGATCGTTTTCGCATGTCTGTGTGACAGGCAGATGAGCTGGAAAATTAACAATAGTTTCTGAGGACAGATTTGGTGGTACCCGAATATAAGGAATGGCTTCTGAGTAGGTATAAAACGGTCACCTTTGCTCTCTACGTACTTTCAGTCTACTCAAGGTCTTACGCGATGTCCTAACTACGATTACAGTTTCCCCTTTCCAACAGCGGACTTGGGGTGGCTGGGGATTGTTCACCGTGAACTTGCTTTGTGGGGAGAGGTGCCGACTGTCTTAATTACATTTTGGTAATCTCCTTTTAATGACTTGCCTCCTGTGCATCCCCTCAAGGAAAAGGATGACTGGTATCATATTTAATGAGCTTAAGGATGATGCATTAACTACTCCTATTATTTGTTACTTCTTTCCCTTCTATTAAAGAAAGAACAAGCTGGGATTGGACGGTAGAAGTTCTCTCGCTGAGCACAGTCTCAGTTCTTTCCTGGCCCCCGGACCTTTGGCCGCCCTGGAGTAGCTGGCCCAACCCCGTGCTCAGGAGTCATCAGCGTTTCTCTGCTCAGAGGAAGGGACCTAATCCAAAGGATTAGGAACCAAAGGATGCTGGAACCCTGGCGGTCTGTCCCTGCCACACCTCCTGCCGCCAACGCAGATAAACAGGACAAAAGAAAGCCCTCGCCTCCCCTGCAATTCGGCACGACCAGAGCTGCGCAGTCACCCCTCGCCCTGCCATCTCATGCTCTCACGGTCTCCCTGTGCCCTTCCCGCCCAGAAGTCCCTCGCTCGGCTTGTCCTCCTGGTAAATGCAGCTCTTCCGGTTCACCTCGGCTCAGGCACTGGGCAGGTGTCCCATGTCCTCCTAGGCCAGTTCAGGGGGTCAACAGGATGACACCCCCAGAGCGCTGACTGCACACTGACCAGGTCGAGCAGGAGGCGGCACTGCAGGGGCACCTCGAGGACGGCGCCACCTCTGTGCCCTGGTCCCCGGCCCACCGCAGTCACTCCCGTCTCAGAGCACATTTATCCTGATCACTCTTTTCACAATTAACCCTAAACCTTCTCACAAGGATGCCAAGCAAAGTGCTTCCAGAGGTGAAAGCCACTCTTCGTGAAGGAAATCAGGTAGAGCTAACCGATGCTGGGGGAAGGCAGCAGCAATAGGGAAGCTTCAGAAATGCTCGCCCTTGGGCTTTACTTCCAGAGCCAGCAGAGGGGCCCCCTGTGATTCGTGTACAGGATGATCTGGCCACCCCAAGGCAGGACAGCAGCCCGTGGAGGTTTGAGCACAGCCTCCTCCACTCACGGGTCCTTTGAAGGACTTTTGCTAAGGCCGCCTGAGCAGACCCAGAGTCAAAGCCAAAGTCTGTACTAGGACCCCAGGCCACCTGGCCGCGCCTCTCCCTGCCCTACAGCCCTCTCCTTCACCCACCCACTGCTGCCCCTCTGCCCCGCAAACACACGGTTCCCTCCTGCCCGAGCCGTCACACTGGCTGTGCCTGAGGTCCCTCCCCTCTGTCACTGCACTCCCTCCCTACCTCCATGGTCTCGGCTCAGACGTCACATTCTCAGGCCCTCCCTTCCGCTCTGCTTCCTCTTCTCACAGAACGTGCTCTTCTCTGACACAAGATCTAGTCACTCGCTCCTAGTCCCTCGCTAGAATGGAGGCTCCTGCCAGGCAGGGACTGCGTCCGTTTCGCTTGCCGCTAAGCCTGGCACCTAGCTCAGTGCCTGGTACACATGAGCCCATGGGAAGCGGTGTTCACAGAGACAGTGAATGAATCCACACAATGGAACGGCACATGCCAAATGAAATCCACGATTTGGATGAAAACGAAGAGCCCGAGAGTGCCAGTGCTGTGACAGGAAGTGAAAAGGCAAAGAGAGTCGGCCAGGGACTCTGGGAGAAGGGCCTACACGGCAGGAACGGGAAAGCCCGATGCTTGTCTGCTGCATGGCCAGTCAGCGCGCAGGCCCTGAGACTGACCACTCGGGCACCGCAGGGGCGAGTGTACCGCTGAGAGACTGGCTGGGGGGCAGCTGGAGCAACAGCAAAAGCAATAGTGTCACTTTTGGGGAGCAGGACTGGGGCTGAACAGTGACTCAAGTGATCTCTGTTTTTAACTCTGTTGCAACAAGTCAATTTTATTTCTACATGGGCATGTATTGCTTTGATATCAACATAAAATGTTTGTTCAAAAACAAACTTGCAAGAGTCCGGAACACAATCCCCAAACTCAACAGTAGATACAGTCTGTCTTGGCCCCACTCCCAAAGGTGTTTGTACAGAAAAGGGACTGGATGTAAATATGCCAAAATATTAATATTCGTTGTCCCAAGGGGTGATTTTAATTACTTTCTTCGAAATTATCAGTATATTCCAAACAGCGTATACTGGATGTAACTTCTACGCATATTAGCTTACACTTATGAAATTGTCAATATTCAATCATCTATGACTTTGAAAATGGTAATTTAATATGATTCAACCCTATAAAAAAGAATTATTTAAAACAATATATAAGGGGCTTCTTTTGAGATCAATAAAAATATTCCTATCTTTGACCCCCATTATTTTATTTGTTAGAGTCTTTCCTAAAGAGAGAATCCGCAATGTGGATATAGATTTTCATACAAAGTGTCCATTGTGGAGTAAATTACAGTGGCAAAAATTGGAAAAAATCTAAATGCTTAAAAATAAGGGAGTCGATAGAATGCTGCATAGACATTTTAAGTGATGTTTGGAAAACCTTTAAGTGACATGGCGCAATTTCACGTTAAGTGAAAAAAAGCAAGATACATGATTATATATATAGTGTCATCTCCACTTTTTAAAAAAGTACATTAAAAACAGGAAAAAAATGATCTCCAAGTCAGGGTGGTACCTGGAATACTGGCTCTAAATCTGAGCCACCTGGATGGCCACTCCCTGCTGAGGTGGCCACTGGACTGCTGGGAGTCTGTGTGCTCTGCCTCCCTCACTGTGGACAGCAAGAGGAGAAAGTGCTCGTACAGGGCCCAGAGCTTAGCAGGTGCTCACTAAATCGTGGTCAAGGTTGATCCTGTCATCATACCATCATCGTGGGGTTTAGATTCCTGCTTTCTTTTTTAAATTTTCCTGCATTTCCCCAAATTTCTACAATGAATATATATTTCTTTTAAAATCACAAAAAGTGTAATCATTAACAGTACTGAGAGTCGCCATAAGCAAAGAGCAAAGACAAGTCACAGGTCAGAGAAGGTTATTTGCAACCCGCATGCCAGCAAAGGACTGACTGGAATCCTTTCAGGTAGTTTGCAGATGAAGAAACCTGAATGGCTGACCACACACACAAGCGTCCTACCTTACTCATGATTGGATCAGAGGAAGTTATCCAGGGTTAGAGGCATGTGGAGCGCCAGGAGCTCCAGTACCGCTGGTGGGAGTGTACACTGCTACGACCACTTAGGAGCACGCTGGCCAGTGTCTGGGGAAGTGGAACACGGGCCTGCCCTCCGCTCGGCAAGTGCACACAGAGTAGCTCCCGTGTGCGTGCACAAGGAGACAGGCACAGAAGGCTGACTGGTGCTTTGCTTGTGGTGGAGGAAATTGAGAACAACCTATGTGTTCATTAACAGCAGGATGATAATTGAATGGTAGCATGTTCATTCAAAAGAATATATTCATTTAAGACTATTTCTATAGCAGGTTAAGTGAATGAACTAAAGCCAATGTATTGACATGAATAAATCTTAAATTCGTAATATCAAGCAAGAAAAAAATAAGTACAGAAGGCAACATTCAATATAGTGCCATTTATATAAAGTTTCAAAACATGCTGTATAATAGAATATATTGTTTGGGAACATCCAAGTGGTGAAGATAAAAAAATTCAGAAAAAGCACAGTGTTTAGGAGCCCAGCGTCAGGACCCAGCCTTCTGGGGTTTACACGTCAGCTCTCCCTTCACTAGCGAGGTGCCTGTGGACAGAGCCTGACGTCTCTGCGCCAGCTGCCTCATCTCTCAACTGGGGACAGGAACAGCTCAGACCTTGTGGTGACCGCAACAGGATTACACAAGCCAATGTGTACATACAGGACTAAGAACAGTGGCTGCCCACAGAAAGTGCTCGCTCCATAGTGTTTGCTGCTGCTGTTATTATTGACCTAAAACCTTAAAAGCGGTCCTGCTGTTTGCTCTAGTAATCTCTTTTCCTGGCTCATCTTCTGGGATCTAAGATTCCTTAGCACTCTAAAACGACCAGATAAAAGCAAGCTCTAAAACTTCTTTGAAAGTTAAAATAAAATAAAAACTTTTCAACAAGTAAAGGCTGCATATTCATCTTCTAATACTCCATGTAGAATCTATACCAATTTTTCATTAAGAATGAGCTAATTACATGAGGTGATTGGCAATTTATCCAATGTGGTTTAAATCAATTATACATTTTGCAAAAACTAATTTTAGCTCGTTTTCACAGAGACACTTATGTGTGGCGGACATCCTTACCTCCTCAAGGAAACAGCTGAAGTTCTGGAGGAAATATTTCCAATTTATATAGGGGGTTAGATGAATTCTTAGTTTCCTCAAAAAATAATGATACTGACTATCTGTGAGTTTGTAACAGAAATCCTTAATAACTTGTCCAAATTCTGTAGACTTTATAAACCCTGTGTCCTCTTTATCTAATGCAGAACATGCCTAAAAAAGAAAGAAAGGAAAAAACAAGATGGTAAATGCTACTACTGTCAAGTGATTATTTCAAAAACATTTTCCTTAAGTATCATTTCTGCTGAATGCAAATGAAATCTAGTATATGAAAGTCTCCAATAAATTCTAAATTATTAAATAAATGCACCATTATTGAAGGACTAAGGAGGATATGCACACAGGATGAGAGCGTCTGAGTTCCAGAGGAAATTTACCTTATTTGCTCCTATTTGGACGGAGGAAGAGTGAAGAGGAATTCTGGCCCCAGGCACCCATGACCTAACAGAAACCTCATCTCTGCTCCCAGGAGCCCTGTTTGACAGAGGAAAGGAGAGAGTAACTTGCTGAAGTTCTCTCGACTCAAGTTCTAGGTCCTTTAAACATAAATTACTTGTAACAGAAGGCTCAGGAGAGATACCACTGCATCGGGGCAGGTGTCTGAAGGCAGGAGTCTGACTTTGGGAGCAGCTAAGAGGAAGGGTCATGGGGCCACCCCTCGGCCACCCCTCCACCCACCATAGGCCTTTACACTGAGGCTGCTGTCCTCTCCTGACCCTTGGCCAGAGCCCAAGGGGCCTCACATATGAGAGGATCCCTGCTGTCTGCTCCTGTGCTGGAGGGGCTGGGGTACACATTGCAAATCCAGCAGTATAGTAGTCAAACTGAAAAAGTGCAAAAATGTGCTATAAAAAGAAAACACATTTTTTTCCATCTGTCGAAATAAAATCATTCATTTTTATTGCACTAGGAAATCTGTATCAAGTGGTAGATTAAGATCTTTTTTTTAAGTAAGAATTTAATGTGCCTGCAAACCCCAAACCAAATTCCCCTGTTAATTCTCATTCAGGGATAATTAGGCACACCCCATTGGCTCACCGGAGTGATGGTATATGTGTAACCAAATTAACCTTAAAATTACTAGATCGCTTCAGATTTGTACTTAGCTCATAGTAATACAAGGCAGCTGTGTACAGTGGGATATTCCCTGGCCCTAGGTCAGGAATGGTCTTTGAACCTAGGCTCTGTCGCCCACTGTAAGTCCTTAATCTCTCTGAACTTGAGCCTCTTGGCTATAAAGACGCACTTGAGTCAGAGGGCAGTTATAAATTTTACTAAGTTACTGGACAATGCCCTATCCAGGTACTAAACGTTGAGGACAGTCACAAAAATGCACATGGCAAACTGGGCGCTCCATGCTACTGGGCATCTGCGGGCTTGTGGCATGGAAGGGGCACTGTGCAATGCTGAATGGGCCTAAGAAGCGACCCTGGATCCAGCTTTCTCTGGCCACAGGATCTGCACTTCCCAGGGTCTGTGTGCAAACCCAGCCTGCCAAGCCATAGGGCCGGTGGAAGAATCAATTGTGAAAAGGCTTAGAAAACTCTATGTTATATAAATGTGAGGTACTATTAGGCCATTTCAGAAACTAGATGCGTGTGAGGCATCTCCACTGACATACAGAAAGGCATAGATATGTCCGGGGTCCGTAGACATCATCATCCCCTCCTTGCTGCACGGCCCCCCTTGTGCCCTCTCTCCCTCCAATCCATCTTCCACACTCTCTCGCTCAGAATCTCATTGCCAGGAGCATTTCTCAAAAGTGAGAACCACAGTTCCTCCCCAGGGTTCCATGGACCTCAGCTTGAGAAACATCCTGACAGCTGTCAAGCAGTGCCACTTTAGGTTAGAAGGGGGCAAAGTCATCCCGCAAATGGGTTTATTTGGCCTGCACAGTGCTTTTGAAAAATTTGAAATATGTGCTGACATTTAGAAATCAGGAGACTTACACCTTCTCGTGAAAAATGACAAGATCTAGGAACTCTGGGTCCACTCTCCAGCTTGGCAACAGTCAGCTAGGGCTGAGGGGAGGCTGCCTTTAGCCAGGGCTGTGCTCCCTGGCTAGCTGGGGGCCCCGGCATCTATTTCACTCCTGGTCCCTGTGGACATCTGAGTTCGTGAACCTTACTAGGTGACCACCGGGCAGGGCAACTTCAAACACAAGCTCTGGCGCTGGCGGTCTGGTGGCACATTGTCACGTGTCTGAAGGTGACCCACAACATGTGCCTACTGAGTTTCTTTAGATAATCATGAAAACAAAGACATAAAAATGCAAAATCCTCATAAAACTTTAAGCAACTAAAGTCGATCCCCAAAAGTCATGGATAGTGAACAGCACATTTCAATTAAAGATCCTTAGGACTTTAACTCTTCAAACCACTTGGATTTGGAAAAGACAGGCTGGGATGCACCCACTTTCCTCTTTCTACCCACATTCCTGGCTCTGCTGCACGTTCCCTGTGTGATCTCAGGCAAGTTTATTCACTCAGAGCCTCAATTTCTGCTCCTGTAGAGTGGAACCAGTAATCCCACCTTACAAGGTTATGATCAAAGAGAAAAATAAGACTCATGGAATCTCATCAGGGCTGGTGGCCCACCAAAGCACCCCGGAGGACAGAGCAGGCTGTTTGCAAAGCTACTGGGGAACCCTCTTCCCCAGTGCAACACTGGGCGCTCAGTGCACAGCCAGGACTTTGTGACGTCAGAGGGCATTTTCACTCTGGGGACTTAGTGCACATGGCCCTGGGGGTTTTGAGTGGCTCTCTAAGTCTGGTTTGGCTGGGGTTGTTTGGGCTGTGGGTGCCAGCTTCCCCTGGGAAGTAGGAAATTCATCCGTGGGCCAGTCTGGGGACCACCACCTTTCCAGGAGCGTGGTTCCAAAGCACTCTTTCCAAGGACACCAGCACGGTTAGCAGCATCATGCCATACTCCCTCTCGAGTGACATACAAATGTAAGCTGTGCAACGACGATCTACTTGGGTGACTCCTCTAGCTCCTGGTGGCTGCCACACATGAAGTCTCTGTGCCACAGCCCAGCCCCACTCGACCTCTTCGGGGCCACATTTCGTCCGTCATCTCTGTGGGCCCGTGCCTGGCCACATGGAGAGCTCACTGGATGTGCCAGGCTCACTCTCGCCCAAGGGCCCCTGTTCTCTGCCATCTGTGACTGGAACCGCCTGACCTCACCCCACACCCAGGATTTGCTAAGTGCCAAGCACTCGCGCCTCAGAGAGCACACGCTGGGGTGGAATCGCGGTAGCTTTCTGTAGGGCAAAAATGGGTACACATTTGCCAAATAAACAATCTGCTCTTGATGAACTAGACACCCCAAGGAGAATGGAAAGAGGCAGGAAGGGTCCTGGAGGAGGGGATGGCTGGAAGGCGTTTGCCGGTGTTGAGATGAGTTTTCACAATAAAGCACGTTCAGTCCGCCATACCTTTAACAAAGCGGGTTGGGAAGACTCAACCACTTCCTGGATGTTCTTCACAACCTCCTCTGGAGTCAGTGTGGAAAAGTTGATTGGCAGGCTCTCCTCTTTCTCTTTTGGCTGAGCTCTTGCCAGCATGCTGTTCTCCAACGCTCTCAAGAAGTCAGCGTAACTGACAGAATTATCATGCCAGCTGATTCCCCAACTTGTCTCCAAAGAAAGAGAAGACTGTATTAAAACCCACCCTACCACTTATTCATTCAACAAACAGCTGCTGAACACAGAGCAGTGTGGCGAAAATGAATAATTTTGAGACACTGTTCCCTGCCCCGCAGGTGCGTACGTGCCGATTAGCTCTGCTCGCAGGCAGGTGCACACGAACACTGCCATGTGGGGAAATGAGGGAAGGGCTATGGGAGGGGAGAGGGGCCACTGGTGCCCTGCCCTGCGCAGCAGGGCTCACAGCTTGGCAGAGCAGACGGTAAGGGGGCTCCGGCTAAAGAATCTGGTCCCAGGACCGGGGCAGATGACGGTGCTGGGATGGAGATGTGGCATCTCCAGAGCAGCACGATGGGGAGACGAATCTGTAGCCAGCCTGTGCGGTGGCGGGCAGTGGGGTCCAGTAGTCTGGACGGGAGGCTCCAGTGGCCATCCAGGCCTGAACTGTAGGGCTGGACTTAGAAGTAGCAGCGGAACTTGAAAAGGGGAGAATGTCAAAAGACTGTACAAAGGAGAAGAGGAACGGAATAAAATACACATCAAGTTCTTTTTCAAGAGTGGTTGAAATGAAGTGGTCAAGCCAAAAGCACTCAGAAGATATTTTGCAAATAAAAATTTCTCAAATAAAAATTCCACCTGCATATATATCTCAAAAAGGGCATCCGTGTAGAAACAGAGGTTCCTCCATGCTCTCAACTCCAATGCAGAAGAAATTACCTCTAAATTCTGAAAGACTAGATTGTGAGATAAAATCAAAAAGTTTCACAGAACATAGAATATACCTATTAAAGATGTAAAATAATTCAAAATAAAGTTTAATTGCATTCAAAGTTCACACTGCTGTAACTTCAGTTCTCTGGGGAGTCCCATGGCACTTGAACACCTAAACTTTCTCTCAGCAGGATGGGGTGCAAGTGTCCAACTGGAACAGCTTGGAATGAGAAGTTTCTAGAGACTCAGATATCTGCTTCTAAAGAAGACGAGCCAAGAGCTGAGCTTTTCCAACCCACAGCTGCAGAGCAGCCTTGCACGGGCCCCGCATCGGGTCGGCTCGCGTGATGGAGACACGAAGGAAAAGGACGATTAACACTATTTCATCAGCAGGCTAAATTGCCACTGTGGTATTAAGATGTATCCTCAGTAGTATTTAGAAAAGTCTATTTTGGATCTAGAAAAGAATAATCTACATATAATTACAAATAACAGAGATGTTTATCATCAAGGGGTCTTTGAGAAGAAACAAGCAACTGAGCGATGGATCCTTATTAAGGTTTCAACGCATAAAAAAGTTGATCACCCCCATTGAAAGGTGGGCTACAGAAATTCCACAATCCTTTTGTTGTTGTTTATAAAAGTATCAAGTCTAACTATGTTTTAACAAGACTCTCTTATAATCATTTAGTTAGTTATTTATCTGCTACTATTTTTCCATGATTTATTCATTGAATGCACATGAATTCCTGTTCGGCTGGCAATAGACTCAGAGAGGAGGAAAGAGGAGATTCAGAGAGGAGATCCTGTTTAAGGAAGAAAAAACCATACAGGCATTTGAGGATGAATGGCCCTCCCTTTCTCTATACACACACACACATGTGCACACATGCACTGGACTTCTCACAGCTCAAACATAATGGAGCAATGTCTTCAAAATTTTAAGGGAAAATGATTTTTACTCCTAGGATTCTGTGCTTAGATAAGCTGTATGGGGAGAATTTTTAAGGACTTCAGATCAACAAGAACTCATAAAATTTACTTTCTGTCCATCCTTTCTTTGGAAATTACTTCAGGGAGTACTCCAGCAAAAGAAGAATGTAAATAAAGAAATAAAGGGATGTGGGATGTAGGAAACAGGGGCTCCAACCCAGGAGAACAGTGGAGGCAGTCCAGGATGCCCTGGGGGCCAGGCTCTGGGATGGAGGTGCCAGGGGAAAAAACTAAAGAGAAGAGAAAGTGGGATAGAACGCGGGGAAAACCTGCAGGTTGATAATGTCGAATTTTACCTGAGCCCTTTTCTCCTAGAAAACAGCAATGGTTAAAGAAATCACCCTACCCTGTATGTCCTTGGAAAGGGCTACTGCGAAGAACTACCTTTTCTGCATACTACTTAGAAAAGCTCAAGGACGCTCCCAGGTTTACCTCTGACAACTCAGACACAGACCTTCCAAATTCCCCTTCCCATTCTCATTAATGATTAGCTGAACCGTTTGTACCCACTGACTAATCTGGACAAAATACCTGCTAACCTGACCACAGTTTAGTTAAGCTTCCCTCCTTCCCCAGACTCCTGAACTTTGGACCACCTCGGCATCAGCCAGCATGGGAATGGGGAACAGCCCCTCCCTAATGGTGCCCCCTGAGACTGACACAAGGAAAGGCATTTCTTGCTCTGTCTGTCTGATCACGCTATCCACTCATCTCACTCTCCACACTAGATACTTTCTCGCTTTGTTCACTCTTCCCTATTAAAGAAAAGCCCTTTTCTCCTTGACCGTTGAGATGCTTACAAATTTCATGGAGTCTCTTTTACCTGAGTATGAATTTGTCTTTATTTGACAAGGTAAAATAAAGGCAAATATTTCAAGAAAAACAGTATATTAAAAACTCCAGGAAACAAATAATCCATCCAATTTAATTGTAGTATAAATATGAAGCAAATTTAACATGTTGATATGATATGAAAGTTTGTGTCCCCTCAAAATTCATATATTGAAATCCTAGCCCCCAAGGTGATGGTGTTAGCACGTGGGGCCTTTGGGAGGTGATTAGGTCATGAGGGCAGAGGCCTCATGAATGGATCTAGTGCCCTTGTAAAAGAGGCCCCAGAGAGACCCTCATCCCATCTGCCCCGTGAGATTACATTGAAAAGATAGACGTCTATGAACCAGGAAGTGGGCCTTCACCAGACGCTGAATCTGCCAGTGCCTTGATATTAGACTTCTCAGCATCCAGAACTGTGAGAAATAAATTTCTGCTATTTACAAGCCACCCAGTTTATGGTATTTTGTTATAGCAGCCTGAATGGACTAAGACAAATGTGGTATGATTTTCAGCAACTGATGGAATCTATGAAAGAGAATCTATTTGACATTAAGGCCAGAGGCTCAGGGATAGTACTACTGAGGAAAAAAAAAAGCTAATTTTCATTCATTACTTGTTGACACTGAACAATACTTAAATAGTTATAATAATGAAATGGTGTTTAATGATTTTCAAGTTTTAGAAGCAACCTACAAACCAAGCAGGAAGGACTTGGTTGCAGCTACAGGATAGAAGGTTAAATTTAACTAGCTTTTCCAAAGTACCAATCAAAATGTAGCTGCCAAAAGATGGGACATGGAAGGAGGAGAAAGTGGTGGAAAGAGGAGGGGAGCTCCGACATGTGTAGAGCTCAGAAGTGTCGCTCTCATCCTTATAACAAGAAACAAGCTGAATAAACTAAATGCCAGCGGCTTTTCTTGGGCCCATCAGAGAATCGAGGTCACAGTGCAAAATGTCACCCTGAAACCTGGAGAGACAGCTGGGACTTGTTTTCCTAGAGCAAAGCCTCATAACCCCAGGCTGGCAGGAGCACCCACACCCTAATGCTGACAAACCAGTGAAGGCTGTGAGTGGATTAGGGTGAGAGCAGGAAGCTCCGGGGCCTACTCTTAGCCACCCCCGCCCACTTCCATGTCCTTTACCAGCAGGAATCCCACCAGCTTCTCACGGTGAAGATCTGGGAAAGGTCCCCTTGTGGGGTGCTGGCAGGGGAAGGGGAAGAGCAATCCTTGTAAAACATGTCCAGAGTCTTCTCGACAATGACTTTCCAAGGGAAAAGACTTTATCAGAGCCTATCTCAGCTTTGGGGGAAGGTCAGTTAGCCAACTCCAGCCTCCTCTAGCCTTCCTGTCTTACTTGAGGGAGGAAGAAAAAGCTAAGCAACATTTCTAAAGGTTGTAGCCCAGGAACTCAGCCCACTAAAAGACTGAGATTTAATTACAAGACTATAGAATGTTTCCCCTCCCAATACCTTACCACTACCTTACTCCTCAACCTGGCTCGGGCATAATAACAATGGATTGCAACTGAAAGAGCTGCAAAACACAGACTCTATTTAAGAAGGAGTTCCTAGGGAAACACAAGAAAACAGGAGAGGCAAAAACAAGGACACTGGAAGAAACCGAAGCCTTTGGCCCTGACAGCAAACACTAGCCACAGTCCAACTCCTAGCCAAATTAACATAAAATCTCACTCTAAAGGCCTGTTTACCTAAGTTCCTGTCTGGCTTTCTACAATATTAACAAAAAAACTATAATGCATGTCAAAAGGCAAGAAAAGACACAGTCTAAAGAGACCAAGCAAGCATCAGAAGCAGACTTGAATGTGACATAGATTTCGAAATGATCAGAGGGGGGATTTAAAATAATTATAGTTAATATGTAAAGTGTTCTAATGGAAAAAGTAGACAACATGCAATAACAAATGGACAACGTAAGCAGAGAGGTGGAAACGTTAAGAAAGAATCAAAAGGAAATGCTAGAAATTAAAAAACACTGTAACATAAATGAGGACTGACTCTGAAGGGCTCATCAGGAGACCAGACATGGTTAAGGAGGGAATCAGTGAGCTTGAAGTGTGTCAGCAGAAACTTCTCAGACTGAAATGCAAAGAGAATAAATAGGGGGGGTGGGGGTAGGGGAAATAGGGCAGAATATCCAAGAACTGTGGGACAATTTCAAAATGTCAAAAATCTGCATAATTGGAATATCAGAAGGAGAAAAAAAAGGAGCAGAAAAAATATTTAAAGTAATAACGGCTGAGACGTTTCCAAAATTAAGTGTAGACACCAAATCACAGATCCAGGATGTTCACAGAACACCAAGCAGGATAAATACCAAAAAATCTACACCTGTGCACATTATATGCAAACCGGAGAAAAAAACTAAAGACAAAGATAAAATCTCAAAAGAAGTCAGAAAATCTCGGGGTAAAAAAAACTTCCCTATAAAGGAACAAAGATAAGAATTACATCAGACTTCTTGCCAGAAACCATGCAAGAAGGGAATGGACTGAAATATTTAAAGCGTTGAGAGGAAAAAAAAAAAAACCCACCAGCCCCAAATGCTATATCCAGTGAAATTATCCATCTAAAATGAAGGGGAAATAAAGACTTTCTCAGACAAACAAAAACTGAGAGATTTTATCACCAGCAGCCCTGCCCTTCAAGAAACGCAGAAAGTCATTGTTCAGAGAGAAGGCAAATCATACAGATCTGCATAAAGAAAGAGTATCAGAGAACGAATAAATAAAGGTAAAAGAAAATCTTACATTCTTATTCTCAGCTGATCAAAGTGGTAATAGTAACAATGTATTGGATGATTATAGCACATGGGTGAGTGAATGACAGCCGCATTATTAGGTACAGGAGGGAAGGATTAGGAATACTCTGTTACAAGGTTCCTGTACATCCCGTGAAGATGCACCCTGTTATTTGCAAGTGGGCTTAGGCTAGCTGTGAATGTATACTGCAAACTCTAGAGCAAGCAGGAAAAATTGTTTTAAAAGGTGGGGGAGGGCTGCTAATATTCTCCCCTTACAAAGTGGGGGACATAAGATTCATGCATTCAGACAGCGCAGCTAAATTACACTGCAAGACAGAAATTCATATGAAGGAGTCAGAGCAGGCAATTAACTCTAAGTTATTTCAGTGTGGATAAGACTTGCAGTTAAATAAAGTGGCTTGAACACACATATCTAGTTCTGTCCCCACTCATCTTTCTGTTATGGAATGACAGGAAAGGGAGTTTTAAAAAGGCATAAGGCAGTGGTTGTCAAAGTGGGGTGCCCCAGCCCAGCAGCATCAGTATCGCCTGAGCCCTTGTTAGAAATGCCGACTCTCAGACCTACTGAGTCAGAAACTTCGGGGGAGGGGCCCACAACTGAGTTTTAACGAGTCTCCCCGTGATTCTGATGCTTGCTGGAGTTTGAGGACCACTGGTAAAATCCCCTAAGGACTAAGAGAAGGTGAAAGAAGACAACTGGTGTTGGTGCCCCTGCGGATGAGTGTGAATGAATGTACGAGAATCTAAGAAATCACCTCCTAAAGCCAAAAGAGGGAATGTGGGAAAGGGGGAAACCTGTATACTCTGCAAATACTCTCAGAGACTCTGGAATTGGTGGTACCAGCTCCATCTAAAAGTGGGGATAAAAGGGGTTAAAAATAGAAGGATTGGTTAACACATTAACTGCCATGTGAGTTGTATTTAACTCGTGCTAGTTTTGAGCCTGGGGCCTCATGAAGCATATGTAACTCACACATCTTTACCTTGGGAGCCACGAGAATTGTTTTTCAAGTTGCATATAACTCACACACAGTAAACCATAAAAAATAAATTTTCCACTAAATTAGGAAGGATCGTTTTGTTTTCGAGGTTTTTATTCTATTTTCATAATAGAACACTGTGGCCCCAAAGAAAACATTTTTTTCTAGTGTGGCAGTCAATGTGGGAAGCAATTAGACCCCAGAGCCCTCCCCAAACCCCATGTGGCTGGGTGCCTGTCCCCACCCGGCGGAGGGTCTGGAGGTGTGTTCTCTGGAGATGGTGTTTCTGAATGGGAGGGCGTTGCCCTTGTTCAAGGTGGGGAGAGTTCCCAGAGCAAAGAGGGGAATTAAGTGAAAGTTTCCACACTGACTCTACTAGTTTCTTATAGCTCTGTAACAAAATACCACCTACCCCGTGGCTTAAAACAACACACATTTATTCTCTTACAGTTCTGGACACCAGAAGTCCACAATCAGATTCCTGGTGCTGGTCCGGCTGTGCTCCCTCTGGAGATTCTGTGCTCTGCCCCTTCCAGCTTCTGCCAAGAGTGGGCTTATGGCCACACCATTCCAATCCCCGCCTCCCTGGTCACGTGGCCCCCACTTCTTCCTGTGTCGAATCTCTGTCTGCCTGCCTTATTTATTTATTTATTTACTTATTAACTTATTTATTTATTTTTTTAGAGACAGGGTCTTGCTCTGTCACCCAGGCTGGAGTGCAGTGGTACAATCATAACTTACTGTAACCTCGAACTCCTGGGCTCAAGTGATCCTTCCGCCTCAGCCCCTCGAGTAGCTAGTGCCTGCGTCTTATAAGGACACTTACGACGGCATTTAGGGCCCATCCAGATAGTACAGGGTAGTCTCCCCAAGATCCTTAGCTTAATCACATCTGTAAAGATCCTTTTTCCAAAGAAAGTAATGTTCACAGGTTCTAGGAATTAGGCCTTGGATCTCTTTAGAGGGCATTATTCAGCCTACCACACTGACTGGTGAAACTTCCGGCCTTCTTCCCCCAGTCAGCTGGTAGAGTATTGGCAGAAGACCAAAGAGTCTTCTCTTCTTGGGTTGCCACATGTAGCAAACCAACAAACCAAACCTAGAGGGCTACCCAGTTTAATCAGAATTTCAGATAAAAAATATTTTTTTAGTATATCAAAAATATTGTATGAGACATATTTAAAAATTATTGTTTATCTATGATTTTAATTTAACTGGGCATCCTGTATTTTATCTGGCAACTCCATTCTCTGGGCAGACCAAAAGAAAAGTTTTAAAAATACTGACACTGGGGTGCCCTCAAGGAAACTACACGCCAGATTACCCTACAGTTCAGACCAAAGGAAAAAAGCTCGACCTATCTGCACGGAACTTTTAATCTGCATCTTAGTACCCTGCGCTCTTAATAGAAGCATATTTTTGAGGAAAGTATCTAACACAGAGCATAGTTTTAAATAGCAACACTGAGGAGAGACTTCTCAGGTAAAGAAAACCTTTTTTAAAAGTCTATTGTTAATATCCTCAGAGAAATGCATTCATGAAACAAGAACATGATGCTATTAAAAAGGAACACTCAAAGAACAAAAATGAATTCTAGTAATTAGAAATATAAGTATTACAGCAGAAACAAAAATCTCAAAAGAAGGCTTAGGAGCTAAAACTGAGGAAATCTATGAGAAGATGGAGCAAAAAGAAAAAGAGATAAAAATAGAAGAAAAAGATTTAAAAATATATAAGAGAACAATCTAGGCAGTTTAATATTCAATAACAATAGGAGTTTCAGAAAGAACAGGACAGGAACCCCTTAATAAAATAAATCAAGAAAATTTCTGAGAACTGAAGAATACGAAAAGGGCCATCTTTATCAGAAGATGAAGCTGAAAGATCAGCTGAGGTGTCTGGACGCATTGGAAAGAGATTTCACAATTAGGGGTGAGTTGGGGTTTTAATGAGTGATAATGAGTACAAAGGAAACTAAATGAACAAAGTAAAAAATAAGATAATTTAACTTCAGGGGAAAAGTGCTATGTAGAAAAGAAGAGTAATCAGCTATTCACGGCAATGTAGGTCCTGAATGTGGATCTAATCCCAGATGTGACACAGCAGCGTGGTGAGTGCATGGAGAGAAGTTCTGGGCTATTCCCCTGGGGTGGTGGCATGTAATGAGTGGAAAGAGTTAAATTCACATCTTCCTGGTAGGATGGCAATAGATACTGCCTAAAAGTGAAAAATCAACAAGGAGCAATATGTGCTTGTCACGTAGAAAGAGGGACATTCGGTACCAGAAGACATAAGCCCGAACAAAGTGTTGAAGGTTGTTGACCTAGCCAGGGGAATGAGGGCCATGGCAGGGCCAAGGGGCCACTGTTTCCAGTAATGAGCCTTGTAGAACCATTTGACTCCTGTCTAAGTGCCTGAATAACTTGGACAAAATAAAAACATGTTTAAAAATGATGCTGCTGCTGCTAACACACATCAGGAAGTTACACATTTGTGAAATTGCTTTCTCTTTTTGCTTTTGGTTCACCCGAACCCATTCTAACGTAGCCCAGCCAAAAGGAACATGAGGTTATTTTAATGTCAAAAGGCTGTTTCAATGGATATACGGAAGACATGAAAGCAACTTGGCAGCATGTTTTTAGTACAGCAAGAAACATATTTAAGCTAGTCAAAAGAGACCTGCTTAGAAGATTGGTCAGCTCCTCTTCCATAAGAGAACAACCACATTCTTGCAGCACTTTCTGCATCTTGCGTATGGATATGTAGCCATTTTTAGATTTATCAATTTTGGTGAGTGCTTTGCTGATATCTTGATAATGGTCCATAAGCTTATCCCTGAAAAAGAAGATATTTCAGACACACCCTAAAATCAGCAAAACAAATAATTTCTTTAAAACAGACATTTCATGATCATTCTAATGTGATGATTTGATGGTTCATCTAAGAACTAATTTTGAAGATGTTTTATAGCTTCAGTGTAACATTTACATTCACAGGTATCCCAGAAAAAATTATAAGTCTGCATCATTATCACTTTATTATTACTATCATTAGCAAAACTACATTAGAGAAATTATAATTTTAGCTTTTTACTAGAATTGGTACTTTAAAAATGGAACTAAGAATTTTAAAAATATAGTGATATTACATAGACATGTGAAATATACATTCATTCTCAATACTTGTTGAGCACCTATGATGTGCCAGGTGCTGCCCTAGGAGTTGGAACACATGCAGTGAATCAAACAGCCATCTCTAGAAGAATCTCCATTCCGGTGGGGGCAAGATCGACAATAAACAGAAGAACAAGGACACTGCACGGTTGGACGACAGGTTAGCAGGCAAGAACAAGAGCCAGTTAGGGGGACTGAGGACGCCCCAAGCCGTAGTGGGTTGCAAGTCTAAGTAGGGAGGTGCAGGCGGGCCTCATTGGGAGTGTGACACTTGAGCAAGGACTAGGCAGCAAGGGAGTCAGCTGAGGACCCAGGGAACAGCAGTGCCAGGCCCTGAGGAGGAGTGGGGGAGGCACGGGGCCCTGCCCATGCTGGGGGCAGGGGAGTGTCCAGTGACTCCTCATTTAATCAGGTATTTTGATTAAGAAATGCAGCCACTATTTTGTGTGCATCAGCAGACAAACCAGGAGCTGTGTTGTCTTCCTCATGTGCAGACTCACATTTGATCTTCTCGACAACGCTGCAAGGGGGTGGGTCCTATCGTCCCCATTGTACAGACAGGGAACAGGACAGTGCCGGACCCAAGGGCAGAGTCAGGACAAGCCCAGGCCTTTCCCTCGCAGTGAGGGAGAGGGCATCCTGTTGTAGTTCCCAGCTTCAGGGTTGATTTTCTTACAGAATGTACTTAAGTCTCTATGATTCAGTTTTTTAGTTCTGGAAAATACTTCTCTGACTTAAAAAAAAAAAAACCATTGTTAAGGGACTAAAGAAGTGTGGAAATCTTTAAGAATAAACAATCTTGCACTTGATCTATGGTGGAGTGATTATAATTCCATAATTTCAGCTCACCCAGGTCTCCGAAAAGTTCTTTCTAACAAACTGAACAATATGCTTGTCTGATGTGCTCGGACTTGATCTTGGCTTTGGGGCTATTCCTCAGGGAAAAGAATGTGCTATAAATTCTAAAAACGAAATATTTGGTGGTAATTGTCTACCATCTCAGATATGTATTTGTGGGAGAGGACAGTTCCTTGAGCATGCCTGGAAAAATAATCCATAGGAACAGAAAAGTCAGAAATACAGGAGAGGTGAAATTCAGTGGGAATGTCTGGGTGATAGAAGGAAGTGACATTTACTTTGAAGCTACCTGGAGGATCTACTCCCTTCTCTTGCTGGCCTCCAATTTGGAATTGGCTCACATGACATTTGAGCACTTAATACAAATGAGCCACATTAACTGTTCTGTGCATGTATACCAACAGCAGCAACATTCTCGATTCCCTTACAGGTGTACATTGAATTCAGTCCCATGTTACAAAATGATTACTCATCATCACAACTATTATATTCCACTTAATCCTTCAAAATGAAAGCAAATGGAGGTATAAAAAAATCAAAACATTTTTTGAGATACATATTTTTAGAAAATTGAGGCATTCAGTGTTTCTTGGACCGGTTTCTAGGCAGTAATTATTTCTCTTGCAGAGTAAACATGTGCAGAGTAAATGAGGGTTTAGAGCGCAGATCACAGCACACTGCCAAACAGAAACGGTGTCAGCCGACACTCGGTGGCAAAGCTGCTCTGCGTCCATGTCTGGTTCCTGGTCTGGACAATGAGACAAAAGGCTGAAGAGGGCACTGTCATGGCCAGTAGGACAGCCACAGACCCCTGACACCTGCAGCCTCCCCAGCCAGTGCTGTTGAAAACCTGCCGCCTCTCAATTTGCATTCTAGAATGGGCCTCTGTTATGTGGCTCATTCACTGTTGCTATTCTGATTCTGAAGCTCAGGCAAAAAAGAGCAAGGCATGGAAAATAAATGCAAGTTTAAAAAAAGGATTTTTCTTAAGCCTACAAAATGTATTTAGGGCACTCAAAACAAAATTAATTCTCTTATATTTAAGAGGAAAATACAAAATTTTGGTCACTTTAATTGAACATGACTCCCATCTATCAATCCGATCAGAGTGTGAGTATAAATGAGAAGATAAAAAAAAATCCTAGAAACATTGACTCTTAGGGCTCATCAGAAAGACGGGCTGACAGTGAAATTTAAAAACATCCTGAAGGGCAAAATTACTTGGAAATTTTTGCAAGCAGATATTTTTGAGAAAACAGGAGTTGATCATGCATTTGTCTTCTTTACTAACAAAGTAGGGGCATGGCAAAGAGGAATGGTGAGAGTGAATTAGTTAACTGAGCTTGATGATCTGAAATGCATTGTCTCACAGCACATAGTGCTTTCCGCTACAGACCCATGCTCCACACAGCACAGAGACACAGGCAGAGAAAATGTGTGCTGTGAGCACCCAGGATGTGCAGTCTCTCTCCTAGAGCCTCATTACTCACAAGTAGCAGGAGAGATGAGAAGAGAAGACATGAGTGGGTAATGAGGCCAACCATGTCTGGTAAAGATAAATTCCACATTTTCATAGCTTTATGGCATATTTGATTTATACCAATCTTGTGCATATTTTACTTTGAATTTTACAAACTCAATTCTCTGCCTTCAGGCTTCATAACTCAGTAACTTAGACATAATTCAGAGGTGTGTTCAAACTGCTTTTCTCTTAAACCCCATTTAGCTATTACTTTTCATCCCTGAGTTCTTGGCATTCTTATTTCCTGTGCAGATTCTTTAGCAACAACTCATTCATTTGTTCAGGTGGTATGCAAAGTGGTGGGGACAGAGCGCTGAATCCTGCCTTTTGAAATGACAGACAGGAGTCAGATGCACAAACAGATAAGAGCGAGACAGATCTAAGGCAGAGCCATAGAGCAGCAGGACAGAGCCACACACATGGGGAGTGTGGATGGGTGACCAAAAAGGATTGAGACTAATGTCTATTTGCCAAGAAAATCTGTCTTATTGCTATATGGTCACATTATACACAGCCCAATTTTTTTCCTGTGGTATAAACGTTAAAAATATGACATGAGCAACTAGTTTTAAAATTTGAAATTCAGAGTGGCTGAATGGATTAAAAAACAAGACCCACCTATATGCTGCCTACAAGAAACTCACTTCCTCTATAAAGACACACATAGACTGAAAGTGAAGGGATAGAAAAAGATATTCCACACAAATGAAAACAAAACAAAACAAAAAAACCAGCTGGAGTAGTTATACTTAGACAAAATAGACTTTAAGTCAAAAACTGTAGAAACAAAGAAGGTCATTGTATAATGATAAAGGGGTCATTTCAACAAGAGGATATAGCAATAGTAAATACATATGCACCTAACACTGGAGCACCCAAATCTATAAAGCAAATATTAATAGATTTACAGGAGAGAAAGTCTGCAATATAATAACAGTAGGAAACTTCAACGCTCCACTTTGGGCAATGGAAAGATCATCATGGCAGAAAATCAACAAAGAAACAGTGAAGTTAAACTATACTCTAGACCAAATGGACCTAACAGACATTTACAGAACATTTCATTCAACTGCTACAGAATATACATTCTTCTCATCAGCACAGAGAATATTTTCCAGAATACATGTTAGGTTAGGCCACAAAACACGTCTCAAAACATCCAAAAAAGTCAAAATCATATCAAGCATCTCTTCCGATCACAACAGAATACAAATAGAAATCAACAAGAGGAATTTTGGAAACTGTACAAATACACGGAAATTAACCAACATGCTCCTGGATGACCAATGAAGTCAATGAAGAAATTAAAAAGGAAATTTAAAATTTTCTTGAAACAAACAAAAATGGAAATACAACATACTAAAATCTATGGGATACAACAAAAGCAGTACTAAGAGGGAAATGAAAAGTTGTTTTTTTAAAAAGATAAACAAAATTGACGAACCTTTAGCTAGACAAAGAACAAAAGAGATAGAATATAAATAAATAAAATCAGAGATGAAAAAGGAAACATTATAACTGAGACCCCAGAAATACAAAGGATCATTAGAGACTACTATGAACAACTATATGCCAACTAATTGGAAACCCTGAAAGAAACGGAAAAATTTGGGGGCACATATAACCTATCAAGATATGAAGAAACTGAAAACTTGAACAGACCAATAATGAGTGATGAGATTGAAGCAGTAATAAAAAGCCTCCCCCCAAAAAGCCCAGGACCTAATGGATTCACTGCTGAATTCTACCAAACATTTAAAGAAGAACTAATACTAATTCTATTTAACTATTTCAAAAAATTGAAGAAGAGGGAATACTTTCAAACTCATTTTACAAGGCCAGCATTACACTGCTACCAAAACCAGACAAGGAAGCAACAAAAAAAGAAATCTATAGGCCAATATCCCTGACGAACACACATGCAAAAATCCTCAATAAGATACTAGCAAATCGAATTCAACAACACATTAAAAAGATTATTCACCATGATCAAGTGGGATTCTTCCGTGGGATGCAAGGATGGCTCAACATACACAAATCAACCGATGTGACACAACACACACATCGACAGAATGAAGGGCAAAAACTATATGATCATTTCAATAGATGCTAAAAAAGCATTTAATAAAATTCAACATCTCTTCATGATAAAAACTCTTAACAACTTGGGTATAGAAAGAACATATCTCAACATGATAAAGGCCATATATGACAAACCCATAGCTAATATCATACTGAATGGGGAAAATATGAAAGTCTTTCCACTGAGATCTGGAACAATACAGGATGCCCACTTTTACCATTCTATTCAACATGTTACTGGAATTCCCAGCCAGAGCAATTAGGCAAGAGAAAGAAATGAAGGCACTGGAAAGAAAGAAGGCAAATTATCTTTGTTTGCAGATAACATGATCTTATATTTTAAAAATCCTAAAAACTCCACCAAAAAAACTCTTAGAACTGACAAATGAGTTCAGTAAAGTTGCAGGACATAAAATCAACATACAAAAAATCAGGAGTGTTTCTACATGCTGAAAGTGATCAATCTGAAAAAGAAATCAAGAAAGCAATCTCATTTACAATAAGCCACACACGCAAGAAAACTAGGAAGAAATTTAACCCCAAAAGTGAAAGATCTCTACAGGGACAACTGTAAAGCACCAATAAAAGAAATTGAAGAAAACAAAAAAAAAAAATGGAAAGATATCCCACGCTCATGGATTGGAATAATTAATATTGTTAAAATATCTATGCTGTACTACTCAAAGTCATCTACAGATTCAATGCAATCCCTACCAAAATACCAATGACATTCTTCACAGAAATAGAAAAAATAATCCTAAAATTTGTATGGAACCACAAAAGACCCCAAATATCTAAAGCAATCCTGAGCAAAAAGAACAAAGTTGGAGGTATCACACTACCTGCTTTCAAATTATACTACAAAGCTACAGTAATCAAAACAGCATGGTACTGGCATAAAAACAGCACCAATGGAACACATAGATCAATGGAATAGTATAGAGGACCCAGAAATAAATCCATGCACTTACAGTCAACTCATTTTTGACAAAGGCACCAAGAACATATAATGGGGAAAGGACATTCTTTTTAATAAATGGTGCTGGCAAAACTAGATATCCATATGCAGGAAAATAAAACTAGATCCTCATCTTTCACCATGTATGAAAATCAGCTCAAAATGGATTAAAGATTTATAAGACCTGACACTACGAAACTATTAGAAGAAAGCGTTGGGGAAACACTACAGGACTTTGGTCTGGGCAAAGATTTTTTGGGTAAGTTCTCAAAAGCACAAGCAAGAAAAGCAAAAGTAAACAAATGGGACTACATCAAGCTAAAAAGCTTCTGTGCAGCAAAGGAAACAATTAACAAAGTGAAGAGATAACTTACTAAATGGGAGAAAATATTTGCAAACTATCCATCTGACAAAGGTTAATAACCAGAATATACAAGGAACTCAAATCACTCAATAGCAAAACCCAAATAATCCAATTTTAAAATGTACAAAGACCTGAATATATACTTCTCAAAAGAAGACATACAAATGGCCAAGAGGTGTATGAAAAAGTGCTCAATATCACGGACGACCAGGGGAATGCAAATCCAAACCACAATGAGATATCATCTTACCTCAGCCAGAATGGCTGTCATCAAAAAGACAAAATTAACAAATTCCAGTGAGGATGCAGAGAAAGGGGAATACTTGTACACTCTTGATAGGAGTATAAATTAGCACAGCCACTATGGAAAACAATATGGAGGTTCCTCAAAAAACTAAAAATACAACTACCATATGATCCAGCAATCCCACTACTGGGTATATATACAAAAGAAAGGAAAGATATATCAAAGTGATATCTGCACTCCTGTGTTTATTACAGCACTGTTCACAATAGCCAAGATATGAAATCAACCTAAGTGTCTACCAAAGGATGAATGGATAAAGAAAATGTGTCTCATATATACAGTGGAATATTATTCAGCCATAAAAAGAATGAAATGTTGTCATTTGCAGCAACATGGGTGGAACTATAAGTCATTATGTTAAATGAAATAAGCCAGGCACAGAAAGACCCATATCATATGTTCTCACTCATATGTGGGAGCTAAAAAAATGGAATTCATGGAGGTAGAGAGTAGAATGGTGGTTACCAGAGGCTGGGAAAGGAAGGGGGGAGGGAGAGATGAGGAGAAGTTGGTTAAGGGGTAAACAAATACACTTAAATGGAGGGAATAAGTTCTAGTATTTGATAGCACAGTGGGGAAATTATAGTTAATAATTTATTGTCTATTTCAAAATAGCTAGACCAGAAGATTTGCAGTGTTCCCAACACAAAGAAAAGATAAATGTTCGAGGTGATAAATTATCTCAGTTACCCTAATGTGATCATTACACATTGTATACATGTATCAAAATATCACATGTCCCCCAAATATGTACAACTATTAAATATCAATTAAGAAAAACTGAAAATAATCATGTACAATCCCGTCATCCAAACACAATACATTACTTTCTGCACAGCATCTTCTGGTCTTCGTGCATAGGCACATACATCAGATATCATGCCAGTCACGGACACACACTGCTCAAAATTTCACTGCCAGTGAGCCCTTTATCACAAACATTTTCCATGTTCTCCCACGATAATTTCAACGGGGATATACTATTTCATATACTTTTGGGCCACACTTTACTAAGCCAGTGCACCAATTTGGGACTGGAAGCTATTCCTTTTGTTGTTGTCATCATTAAAGACACACTACAAGTCGTACCTTCCAATCACTAAACTGTTGGCCTCTTCTGAATTATTTTTTGGGACAAAATCCTCAAAGTAGAAGTGGTGAGTTAAAGAATATGTCGGTTCATTCATTCATTCATTCAACACATATTTGCTGGGTGCCAATTAGGTGTCAGACACTGAGTAAAGTGACAGATGTCCCTGTGGAGCCTGTTAGGTGGGCCAAGTGAGGGGCCAGGCAATGTGCCATACACAACTAAAAAGGATAATTTTCAAGGGTGACCTTGAAGTATGAGAGAATGATATGAGATTGTGACTGGGTAAGGTGGAATAGGCTTACAGCTTTTTAGCTACTGTTTGACTTGGCACTAACGTCTAGAATCTATAGCAGTGAACAAGTATAACAACGTCACTACAACTTTGCGAGCACTGGAAAGTTCCATGTTAAAACAATTGTCACTGCAAGGGTAAATGTGGAACGGAGCATCCACGTGACAGTCCCCCAACACTTCTAAACTCACCTGGCCGGCACAGCCTTCTCTGAGTTCTGCTGCAGCTCCTTAATCTCTTCTTGTACCTGCTGTGGCTTCGTGAAATGACCCATGAAGTTGAAATAATCCTCTGCATAGGGCCGATGCACAGCTGCGGAATAGTTAATACCCAGCTTCTGTAGGAACTCTTGGTAAGTAATGTGCCCTTTTCCCTCGGTGTCGTAGCTTAAACAAACAAAAGCAGAAACAAAAAGCTCTCATCAGTAGCCACGAAGGTGCTGGGGGCTCAGGGTTCTAGCAGTTTCTGCTCCATCTGTGAGGAGCTCAGACTGGGTTCTCCATTCAGTGTGCCCTGCAGCCCAGCCGCACTGACCTCCCTGGCAGAGTGTGAAAGGCGCTCTTGGGCCTCACCCTGACCGGATCTGACCTGCATTTGGACAAGATCCCCAGGGGACTTGCAGGCGCATCCAAGTTTGAAAACCGTTGCTCTAAGCGACAGGACGATCCCCTCACGTACGGCCTGCCCCGAGAGAGCACCCACAGTGTCCCTGTCATTCTGTAGAAATGCAGTTGTGGGTAGAGAAAATTAAAATCAACCCCTCCACATATTCAACAGTTTTTTTAATTGAGGGCCCGCAAGTAAAAGGAACTATGTTAAGGTTTAGAAGAAAGCAAATTCAATCTTAAAACTCAAATAAATGAATGTCACTTGATTCAAAGATGGTAAAATTTCCATTTTCTCCTTGAAGAGATGCCAATTACATACAGCCAATGAGAGAGACCAGTGAGGAAAACAAGATAAGAATTATGCTATGTGGCTTTTATGTCGTTTTCTATTATTGAGATTTTTCTCAATTATAACTCATTAAAAAAGGCATAATGGAAGGTTTTTATCTCCCAACGTTATTCAAATAAAATAGAATTACTTCAATAAAAATTTTAAGGCAAATTGCCAATTTTCTTTAAAGAAAAAAACCATTTATTTTTACAGAAAGATCTTAGTCCTCATCTAATCGATAAAAATGGCGCTTGTGGATGTGATTTTCCCCAGATGAACTCAGAGTTCCAAGGAATGAGACTATATTTAAACAATTTTGCGAGCATAATTCTTCCATCAGGACGCTGTTTGGGTACTTGTCTGACTGAGCAGAAGGACAAGCGTTCTCCTTTGTGAGGCAGAGCATCCTTCTGCACTGTTCCCTAACTGACGAGACCCTTTAGGAACCCCAGAGCCCACTGTCGCTCGGACACACTGAGCCCCGTGTGCACAACTGTTTCAGCTGAATAACAACGCACAAGTGTATTTGTTTACCTGAGTTCTTGTCCTCAGTGGGTGGGGTGGCCAGTGGAAGAGGAGGGGTAATTTGTTTGTGTAAACGCTTCATGCACTTGCACTAAAATCTGCGGAGGATCCCAGGAGTTGGAAGGCCACCATCCTTCCCGAAGGCCATGTGGGCCTGTCCCCCCAGGTGCCCCAAGAGCCCGAGGCCTCTCCCTCTCCCTGCTCCTTTTCCTCTCGTGCCCTAGAGATCAGTAGCCCCCTCTGCCCTGCCTCCGACCTCTACCTGCCTGTTCCTAACACGAACTCCACCTTACAAGGGAAGGAAATGCCCCTCTGGTGATTTCTTTCAACAAAAGGAACTGGGAGTCAAACACCAGCTCACAGGCTTGGAGACCCTGGCAAGGGCCCGTCATTGCCTCCAGCAAAGGGCTTTCCCCACTGCTGCCGATAGGATAGCTGCAGAATGGGGAGTTTAATTTCTCATCACCATACCTAGGAAGGGGAAAGGGCTGCCATTTCTTGAGCTTCTAGGGTGATCCCAGGGTCATGCATCTCTCCTTGAACTACATCAGGACTGTCACTAACCTTGTGCCACCAGAGTGATGTAAGAATGCAACTCTGGCAAAGACATCCTCTGCATAAAGCTCCCCAGGGGCTCTGCCTTCCTAAGGGAGGTTCCTGACAGAATGGTCCACAGGCCACCCACCTGACAAACAGGCCCCAGGCAGCAGTGGACCTGTTTCCAAAACCTCTCTCTCCTCCTAAGTCAAAAGTAGGGCAGCCCTGCCTTCCTCTGAGTTCCTCTAGGGCGTGAGGAGGATGGATGCGTTAGTGCACGTGGGGCCCGGGACCAGGGTCAGATACACAGGGGTGCATGCTGGCGTCTGCTGTTGCTATTTGCCACCCGAAGGCTCTACCACATCCTGTCATTCCAGTTTCTAAGTCAATGTCTTATCTCCCCATGAGACAGCAAGTTCCTTGAGGAGAACTACGCCTGATTCATCTTCATAAACTCACAGTGCCCAGCCAGCAACACACCTTGCACAAACTAAGTTATCAATTCATATCTGTTGAGCTAATGAACATGAAGGAAGTGTATTTCTCAGGAAGGACTCCCCTCTTGGTGTGTTATGCTCAAGAGATTATCAACAACAAACTCTGAATTATGACACTTGAGCTGAATGAAAAGGCACTTCTTAATTACTTCATTAATAAAGATTATACACATTCTATTCTCATCGCAAAGGAACAGAAGACCAGATTGCACAATTGCAACTAAAATATTGTTATGAATGTGAATAATAAGAGAGTTAATTCAGCTTACATAACCTCACCCTTCATTATATAATCCTTTGTGTAACATTAAAAAAAAATCAACTTGCCTATAAAGGTTGAATTTTAAAATGGTTCAGCAACAGATGTGCTAGGAAAAATGTGTACATAAACAGAGGACCCATAAAAACTCGCATTTGCATATGGCAATGGCCGCTAATTTATGATATAATCAGATCACTTTGCCCATTTATTGTACACACAGCAATTCAGCTGTGTACATAATTTGGATATGTTCACATTGATTGTTTTGCTTTTCTGGGAAAGCCTTAGCCCTATATGCTCAGCTTAGGCACTTGATTCTTAGATAAATTACAGAAGTGCCTTCGAACACCACTGGCCCCAGAATTAGAGGGCACAGTCAGGAGGGTGGTATAAGCCCCCCTGATGGCCAGGCCAGGCAACAGAGGCAGACGTGGTGCACTGTGCAGCTGAGGACACAGGAATTCTCTCAGGTACCATCTTGGAGGGTGGTCTGGTAGCTCAAATGGCTGCTCTTGAGAAATGAAAATGTCCACCTGCCCAATGGGCGCATTCGGTAAGTTCTGACAGAATCACAAATCAGCCACCATCTGCTCCAGGGCCCATCCAGGGCCCGGATCCCTCCTCCATGCTCCCCAGTAAGTGGTGATCCAGCCTTGGGAGCAGCCATGCCAGAGATGAGAAACCAGGCCTCCTTCAAGGATTGCCCACTAGAGTCCTAGCTGACTTTAATCACTGCAAAGTTCTTGAGGCTGAGCTAAGGGCCTACCTGGCCAGCATGTCTCCAAGTTTAACCTTCTTCATACGAGCACTGCTGGAAAGTATTCACCATGTAATATGAAAATTGCTTATTAACAATGGCTGGATAGTTTCCAGATACCCCTCGTATATAGCACTTTAAAAACTCAACTCCTACAATCACATGCCATTAAATCTTCTCTTTTTCTTTCTTTTCTTTTTGAGACAGAGTCTCACTCTGTTGCCCTGGCTAGAATGAGTGCCGTGGTGTTAGCCTAGCTCACAGCAACCTCAAACTCCTGGGCTGAAGCGATCCTCCTCCTCAGCCTCCTGAGTAGCTGGGACTACCGGCACTCACCACAACGTCCACTAAGTTTTCTATTTTCAGTAGAGACGGGATCTCGCTCTTGCTCAGGCTGCTCTCAAACTCCTAAGCTCAAGCGATTCTCCCGCCCTGGCCTCCCAGAGTGCCAGGATTACAGGCGTGAGCCACGTTGCCTGGCCAAATCTCTTTTCTAAGCTAAAGACCCTTTTCATTCAACCTTTTTGAACCCTTCCCCATCTGGAGGCTCTCTGCCCAGATGTTCCGCCAGCTGGGCACTGAGTAGGTAGGTTCTCTCTAGGTACTGCCTAGGTTGAGCCAACGGAAATGACCTCGCTTCCTGTGAACTGAAAGCACCAAGACTTTCATTCCTCATGAGCTGCTGCACGTGACATAGACGCTTTTTCGTGGTCTTTTTTTTTTTTTATATTTGAACACTCGTATACAATTTACCTACCATTTCAAGAAATGTGCATAAATTATCTCCAAAGCTTTCCAGCAAGTCTGCCTGGTAGCTGGTTTTGCACAGTGAATAATCCACACAGATATTTCTGAGCCTGCTGCTTTCCTACTTTGGTCTTCTCTTTGGTGTGTTTTTGTAATACGCCCTCTTCATAGTTTTCCCGCAAAGTTTGTTTTAGATCCGCAATCGAGCTCCACCTGATGAAAGGAGGCTACAGAAGATGCTCACAAGGCTGAGCAGCTCCCCGTGGGTGAGCCTTCCCCAGCCCCGGCAGGACAGCGAGTACCCCCTGGGCCTGGCCTTCCCCTTCCCAGAGAGGTGCCAGTCTCGGGTTCTTCCCGTATAAGCAGCGCCTGGTCCTCTGCATCTTTCCTCTTCCGTCCTGGGATTTCCTACCTGCCTCTGGCTCTGCTAGTGCCTCTGCTAGTGGGATGCCCTTATCCCACCTCTGGCTTCTCCTCCTGGCTAATGACTGTTTACTATGACACAACTTAGATGTCACGTCTCCTGGGAGTCCCTCCTTGGACACCCACGCCAGCTACCCACACTTCTCCCTCCTGACATGCGGCTGCTGTCGCTGCATTTGGATGTTTATCTTGCAATGAGCAACTTGAGGGCAGGGACTGCCTTTTATCTCTGGAGCCCCAGAATCTAGCACAGGGCCTGGCACATAGAAAGTTTCAAAAAACAACTGCTTAATGGTTGCTGGAATGAGTGAATGGATGAATGCACTTCCACCTTGTCATTTATCCTTAGCAGGCTCTCCAAAGTCCAATCAAATTTATTGCTCTTGAAATCTCATGCTTAGAGCCCCCAGTCTGGCTTCGGTCAGCAGGGTTCCTTTCACAGGAGCCTCCTCCAGGCTTGCAATGTTTTGTCCCCTTAACCCTCCATGAGCCAGCCTGTGACATCCAGGGCTCACTTGACATCCATGTCCCCCACCCCCAACTGCAGAGCCCTGTGCTGTTAGTTGGGCCCCTTGACTAGCCCTGGGCAATGGTCCAAGAGCAGAAGCCTGGCATTTCACACTGAACCCCTGAAAGCCCACGTGTGACCCTCCAGTTCTGCAGTCCCCGTCCCAGTGGGTGGAGTCCCCCCACTGAGAT